TCTTTTCCAGTACATCCCCAAATTAAGCAGTCTATCAATTTTATCTTCTGGTTGAAACCTTTTCTGGAACTTCTGATCTGCTCCAATCTAGACTGATTATCTTCTGTGTTTATTGCACAGCTGTCATGCCATTGCCCCTCATTGCTTTCCAGGTTTTGTGTTTTTACATTCTGTGGCTTCCTCTTTTTTTTCTTGGCAGGTTCCTTATTTTTAATGTAAGACATCCTCCATGGATTTCTGAGTGACAAAATTTAGAAAATATACTTAAGATTTTCTTGTACATGTAAACTTTCCCCCCTATCTATACATGTGATTGCTGTTGACTGAGTGGGGAGTTTTATGTTAGAAATAACTTTTATGTAGAATTTTAGATACATTGCTTTACTATTTTCAAGTTTTTAAAATTCAAATTTTATTAGTGCATGTTTGCAATACAGAATGATTGCCTTTATCAGGGGGAGCTGGTTCATGTATATAATGTTTCACTGTTTTTCATTTTACACTGCTTTGCTTTTGAGAAGTCTGGAAGCACTCTGGTTCCTGGGTACACAGTGTTTGTGGCTGGATGTCTCCCAAAGCCTCATTAGTGGGAGTGGGTGTCTAGGATTTGTGACTGACTCATGGTCCAATGCCGAGATTATGGGTGTGAGTGCTATGCCCACCTAGGTGGTAGCCTACGTACATATAAGGGACAAAAAAAGAGTCCGCTCATGCTTCTCCTCTTTTGCTCTTCTTGCTCATGCTGCCTCTGCCACCTTGAACTGTCACTCTTGTGTCATGTCTCCCTGCCTTGGAGTCAGCTGATTATGGACTGAAACCTCCACAAACCGTGAGCTAAATAAACCTTTCCTTCTTTTAACCTTGAGTGTTGGGTATTTTGTCTCAGCAACAAGAGAAAAGTAACCAAGATACCTACTGATCCTACAACTGCTGTGTAAGGTCATTTTTATTCCTAATGTTCTAGTATTTTACTGAGAGGTGCCTTGGCATGGGTTCATTGGTATACCTTATGCCATGCCCTATGAAGGTTTTTCAATTTGTAAATATCTGTCCTTTGATTTTGGAAACATTTTTTGAATTATTCTCTTGGTGAGTTCCTTTTCTTCCAGTTTTCTTGAATTCTGCTTCTAGACTTCTTAGTATTCAAGTGTCATACCTCCTAGAATTGTTCTCTAATCTGATCTTTTCTCTCCTGTTTCACAAACCTTTATTTTAGGGGATTTACTTTATGGGGGAAATGAAGTGATGTGTCTTCAAATATAGTCATTTTGCCTCTGTCAGTCAGGAACACAGAAAGCACTCTAGGTATTTCACGAAGAAAGGATCTAATACAGGGAGATGAGCATTCTTGTAGACTGTATTCTATTGCTATAATAAAATACCTTGGACAAGGAAATTTATAAAGAATAAAGGTTTATTTAGCTCACAGTTCTAGACACTGGGAAGTCCAATAGCATATGGCTGGCACCTGGTGGCAGCCTTCTTGTTGCACTGTAATGTGGCAGAGGATGTCACCTAGTGACACTGAGCAGGTGCCACCAGTGCTATCATGGAGTGTGCTGAGAGCCCCCTCATGACCTCTTCCAACCCTAATAATCTCTTACAGGCCCCACCTCCAAACACCATTAACTTATAACTTCAGGAATCAAGTTTCTCACACAGGGACCCTTGGAGGATACATTTAAACCATAGCTGATTCTAACAAAAGCACCAGGAAGAAAATCCAGGGGCCCACAGAGTCAGGAAGCTGCTGTGATAGGCTGAGCGCTGGGGTCTCTAGGGCCCTCTGCGGACGTTAGCCCTCGGTGTAGGCGCTGGGACAGAGTCTGAGCACAAGGACACCAGCTGCCCCTCCTGAAGGAAGGTGACTGCCTGGGTCTCCCACACACCCTCTGGCTCTGTGTAGACTATGCAGACAGAAGTGAAACCCAAAACAGGTGAAAACCAAATCAGGGGTTTTCTCCATCTCTTGAGTTCTTCCTTAGGCCTGAGTATCTTTGTTTTTTGGGGGTGGAGTAAGGGGGACCAATCAAACTCATGACCTCATGCTTGCCAGGCAGGCCCTTGTGCCGCTGAGCTAAATCCCTGGCCCGAGGCCTAAATATCTTAACCCACTTCCTATTTTAACTTGCCTTTTGTGTTGTTTCCATTTACCTTTTCTGTATTTCATTTTGTACAAATTTTTTCTTACTGTCTTCCAGTGTATCATTTTTTTCCTGGTTGGCTATACTTAATCTACACCTGAATGTTGGTGCTTAAAAAATTTGGTAACTATTTTTTGTGTCTGTGATTTTTACCTGTTTTTTTTTTTCTTTTCCTTTTTCAGTCCCAGATGGTTCTTTTTCTCATTATTGTTTTTTCAATTCTTTTTTAATGCTCACTTGTTCCTGTTCTACTTCTACCCATTTTCATCTGGTATTTCTTGTTTAATTTTCTTTCTTTTTTTTCTTTTTTCTTTTTTTGAGACAGGGTCTTGCTGTATAGTTCAGACTGACTTTGGACTCACCTATAGCCCAGGTTGACTTTGAACTCCCAGAAATCCTCCTGCCTCAGCCTCCCAAGTGCTGGGATTACAGATATGCACTACCACAGGTTTCTCTTTTTTTTTTTTTTGTCTTTTACTTTTTTATCGGTACCGGGGATCAAACTCATGACCGCCTGTTTGCAAGGCAGGCACTTATGTCACTGAGCTAAATCCCCAGCCCAGGTTTCTCTTTATAGATGTCATGCTTTTATGATTTCTTTCAGTAACGTAGATGCAAGTACACTTACAGATCTTTTCCTTGCTCTGCTATAAAATCATTGTTCATTACAATTTTTTGTGTGATTTATTGATTTCAGCATTTTTCTAATGGTGAGGCATTAGATTTCTTCATTGCTAAAGTGTGTTTTGGAATTTTGATTTACATATCCGTTTTTGGGGGGGTATCGGTGATCGAACTCACGACTGCACGCTTGCAAGGCAGGTGCTTATGCTGCTGAGCTAAATCCTTTCTCCACTTGGGGCAGGGAGAGGAGGGTAGTGAGACTGGGGGGCTGCCTTTGGGAGATAAACGTATCTGTTTTGAAAGGCAGTTTGTGACATCCTTTTCCTGGTTTGTGTCATTTTTGTCTTTTTCATTTCATCTTCCACACATGTGGTTGATGGTTTGTTCTGCTTCTGCCTGACCTCTTGATGCCCGCAGCAGACGCAGGTTCTCAGGGTGCGCCTGCGGTCTCCTCTTGTACTAGGAGGGTGCCTGTCCCGTCCCGGTGTGGCGCTGGGTGGTGGGCTCCCTGCTTCCTCTCCTCTTGCTTCTTCTTCTCCCTAACCTGGTCTCAAAGCAGGATGCCCCTCTGTCTCTCTGGAAGGTTTTCCCTGCCCACACTAGTGATTAACCCCCAGGGCCTTGGCACCGAGCTGCATCCCCAGCCTCCCTCTTTCATTTTTTTATTTTATTTTTTTATTTTGAGACAGGGTCTCACTAAGTAGCTAAGTTGCCCAGGCTGTTTGAACTTGAGATCATTCTGCCTCAGCCTTCTAGAGTTGTGGGATTATAGGTGTGTGCCACTATGCCCAGCTTTCCAGGAAAACATTTTATTAAGGTAAACTTTCCTACTGAAGTATAATGAATCTCTAGAAAGGTACACAAATTAAAATCAGACACCCCAGTGAGTTTTCCTAAAGTGACTGCTCCTGTGTAATAAGCAGGGGCTGGGCTTCTGGCGGGCACATTCACGAACCCACAGCAAGGAGATCCAGGTAGAGCTCCAAAAGGCCCTGCCACCATCCTTTCAGAGGGGCTGCATGCCAGACTCCCCTGGAGCCCAGTGGCACAGGTATCCAGGCATGAGATCCCCGGCTCGGTTCTGTGCCAGCTCACGGGAAGCTCAACTCACAGCCCGCCCAGCTCTGGGTACTGGTTGCGTTGCTTTGTGGTTGGAGCAGGGAACTCGTTCCACTTTGCTTGGTAGTCCAGCTTGTTGGATGTCACTAGTTATGACCTCAGACCCGGGGAATGATGGCAGAGGCTGCATCCAGTGTGTGTGTGTGTGTGTGTGTGTGTGTGTGTGTGTACTTTCACACACTCACCAGGCAGGTCAGATTCCTGTCCTATTGAGGGTGGACAGGAATCTCATGCAGCTGAGTGAGATGATGAAGGAGAAATATTTGCAGGCTAACTCAGAAAGGGGAGGCTTCAGGAGCGCGTGGCAGGGCGCTGGCCACACACAGAGGATGAGGTGCTCCAGGGGCAGTGAAAGGAGGTACTGAGGCTGTGGGGCTGCCTCTGGGCCGTAAATAGCTGCCTGCTGGATGGATGTTAGGGATGACTTTGAGTTTCTAGAAAGTGGGTGGAAGGTGACACCATTTATGGTGTCAGGAGCGGAGTGGCTCTGGCTTTGGGAATCTGTTTTGACAGCTATGTTAGTGCCTGGCTCTGCATGTCCACTCCCAGGGCTCTGGCCTCAGGACTCAGCCTACACTTGTACACTGGTGGGGGCTGCAAGCCTGGGGGAGACAGGAGTGGGTGGGAAGTTCCTGCCAGGGAAGGCTGCCACTGTGCTCGGCCCTGTGGAGCGGGCCTGCAATGGCAGGCAGGGAGCCTGTCTGATTCCACCTGGGCTTGGGGCCCTTGGGGCAAAGAGAATCAAGGGCAGGAGCCACAGAGACAGATGCTGGCTTGAGGATTCTCGGCCTTCCCTTTGTCGTGGTTGGCCACAATTCAGTCCCATCCCTCCCTCATTAACAGCTTTTGTGCCTAGTATCCTTTGTTACTTAGGGTCTCCCTGTTAGTGCAGAGACCTCTTCCATCCACCTCCACTTTGTTGGGGTGTAGGGGGGTTGACGGGGCAATGGATTGACACAAATAGGCCCTGGAATTGGGGTCAAAGGGGTACATTTTGCTTCCTCTTCTGCATCTTCCACTCTTGTCTTTCCCTGGCAGGGAGCACACTCCCGGTGTCCCCTGGAGCAGGGCTGAGTCCTGCAGCCCTGCCCTCCACAGATGAGGCTCGGGAGGTGAATGTTTTACTTTGTTTTTCATTTCTACTTCACAAGGCTTTAGAGCCACTTTAGTGCACCCCAGGCTGCCACTACCAGTCCAGAGCGGATAAGGCCATGGTCCCTTGGGCACCGCGGGGACGGAGCTCGGGCTCTCCTCAGAGTCTCGGTTCAGCCAGTCTCTCCCCTGCAGGCTCCTGCACCTGGGGTAGGAAAAATGAATAGGGACCTTGTTTGGTAGGAATTTCTTTCCTCTGTTGTTTGCTTTGGGTTCCTTCCCTCTCCGTTCCTGGCTCCTAACCCAATATTTGGCTTTCTGTGAGTTCTAAATATATTTCTTCACTTAACCCCCAGAATCATAGCTTCCTACCTGCTTCCCATGACCGGATCCACAGGCTGGAATGAAAACAGAAGCAGGCTGGAGGGGGTGGCACGTCCGGGAGGGAGGCACGGTGTTAGGGAGTGGGGAGCGTTCACCACTCAGGGTGTCTCCCCAGGCCCGCTGAGACGGGGAGTCACTGAGGGAGGCAGTGGTCCTTGGCTGTGTCCTCCACCTCTCTGACCAAGGCCCTGTCCTCTTCCTGTCACCTGAAAATAGGAGGTCTCCTTGCATCCCAGCAGTCCAGCTGCCAGCTGCTGAGTCAGACCTGCACCTCAAGCCCACTGGGCCAGGGCCCTGCAGCGTTCCAGACCCAACAGTCACACTGTACCCCTGTGGATACCCCGTCCTCCCTCTTCCTCCCTATAAACAGCCCGGGCAGCAGTGTAGGCCTGAACTAAATGAAACCAGGCAGTGGAAAATTCTCCTCTGGGGTGGCCTTCAGCAGCTGCTGTTGAACACCAGGGCTGGAGAGGCACCTGGCTTTCAGGTCCTCACTGCCGAGCCCCAGCTGGAAGGAGGCGGCTGTTTCCTTCTTCTCCAGAGCCAGGAGTCCCGCTCCCCACACGGCCCCATGCGAACACCGTTTAAGAATCTCATCTTAAATCAGCCTTGGGTTTCTAGACTTGGGAGCTGGTGGCGGCACATTCCACCTCCATCTGGTCAGGCAAGAAAGTAAGATCAGAGCTTCCTCGCGCATGATTTACAGCCTTGGTGTGTTTTTGACACACAGGTCACTCGAGAGAGTGCGGCTCAGTCATGGTCCTGCAGACGGAGCTGGCAGGACTGCTTCCTGCCCGAGTGGGGAGAAGGTGGTGCAGGCATAGGGTGCCGCAAAAGGAAAGGCCTCCCTCTGGCCTGAGGTGCTGCTGGCTCCACCCCTGTGCCTGCGGGGGAGCCAGTGGAGTGCGTGCAGGACAAGGACAGTGGTGGTCACAGTCCTGATGACTGGGGCCTTCTGATCCGCCTCCGCCCACTTCGTGTATCCCTGCCTTCACTCGTCTGCGCCGAATGTCTGCTGAGCACCCTGCAGCCCCTGGTACTGTGGAAGCTGCCCAGAGGGACTTAGTTCCAGAGTGCAGAGGCCTGTGCAGGAATTAAAAGCTCACCATCAGCAAGGGCGAGGCACACTGCTTCCTTGAGGAGGAGGTGGCTGACAGGACATCTGTCAGGAAGGGAGCTTCGCTTGCTGTGCGACTGATCTGATTCTCTGGGGAATCTGTCTTATCACCACCTCAGGCCTGGACCGAAGCTCGCCCAGAGAGCACTGTCTGCCTTTCGTTCTCACATTTGCTGAGCTCAGGCATCAGGGCTGTGGGGTTACTCGAGGCTAGCACCAGGTAGGCATCACCCCGCTTTATGCTCCTCGCCAGGGCTTGGGCTCAACTTTCCCTTTAGAGTGGGCAGCACTGTGGGTGCACTTCCAGTCTTCCCTCTTGTGAGAGGGTGCTGATTTCTTCCTGAGACTGCCACGGAAACTGAACCGATGGCACATGCTGGTAATTGCGTGCTGAGAACTCTGAGGCAAGGGGAAAGAGAGTTCAAACCCAGCTAAGCAACTTAACAGAAGCTTGTCTTGAAATAAAACTTAAAAAAAAAAAAAAATGGACTGGAGATACAGCTCAGTGTAAAAGCCATCAGTTTAACCCATAGCACAAAACCAAAACAAAACAGAGAATTGCTATGGATTTGGCTAACCCAGCCTCTCTCTCAGGAGTGTGTGCCCTGTCCTTGTCAGGTGACTCCACAGGACACTTGGCTTCCTGCCGCTGTTCGTAGCCCTCCGCCCCGTGTCATCCGGACCACCGGTAGTCTCTCCTCTGCTTTTGTGGTGCCACCTCATTCCGTTGTGGTGTCAGTCTTCAGATGTTTCAGGTCTGGGTGCTGGGCACAGTGAAGCTTGTAACCCCCTGTCGCCCTGAGCTCATGGCCCCCTAATGTTTGCACAGCAGCAGACTTGCACCTGGCACTTGGCCTTTCTCGTGCTCCAACTTCTTCCCTGCTGTCCTCAGAGCTGGGTGAGGGAAGCACTGTTGCTCCTCGAAGTGTAGATGGTGACTCAAAGCTCAGAACCCTAGTGGTTTGCCCAGATGGTGACACTCAGATTAGTTTTGTATCAGGTTAGTTTTCCCTCTCTTGGACACAGGAATATGTTGTGTGTTTGTGTGAATCTCCTTTCCAGAGACAGGAAATCCTGCTTCTATCCTTTTGCCTTGATTCTTTTTGAGGCTGAGTGGGACAAGGAATTGGGTTGGAGGAGAGAGAGGTGCAGCCTGCAGCTGGGGAGAGGCAGTAGGGGATTTTTTTTTTCTTTTTGTCTTTTTTCTTTTTATCGGTACCGGGGATCGAACTCACGACTGCCTGCTTGCAAGGCAGGTGCTTATGCCACTGAGCTAAGTCCCCAGCCCCCAGTAGGGGATTTTGAGACACGAGAGCTTCTCCTCGGTGCATCCCAGGGGCATGGGCTGAGCATATGGTTATCCTGCCCTGCCTGATGGCAGAGGTGGCTTACAGGTTTGGCGGCAGATTCCTTTGAGAGATGAATGAAACAATTGTGCATTTGGGAAAGAGAAGATTCCAGATAGAGGAGGTGTTTTCAATGGCAAAAGCCCCAAGATGGAGTGTTTCAATGGGTCCATGAACAGAGATTGTAGTGCAGCTTCCCTTTGATGGTCCTGTGAGAATCTGGCAACTTCTAGAGCTGTTCTTGGCTTGATGGACCTCGTTTGAAAGCTTTTATTCTCTCTTTTATTCTCTTCTCCCATGTCCTGGAGGGGTTCCGAACTCAAATTCTAGGATAACAAAAGTAGTTAATGGGATTTCAGTATATGAGATCCCAATTCAGGGAGTTTTCTCCGGGCTTCCCAAATACCTCCCTTGCTCTGTGCTGGATTCTGGGAACATCTGATGACCAAATTAAGGGGTCTCTGAGGAGCTGAAGGAGCTGAAGCTGGGGTGGGGCCTGGGGGGAGAAAGACCTTCTTCAGTTGCATTTTAGAGTCTAAGCGGCCAGCAAGGGCTAGCCGGCTGGGTATAGAGGTGACCTTAGAAGCCGGATGCGACAGTGGGTGGTTCAGAGCGCTGTGTGCCACAGCCGTGTGCAGGCCTGTTCAGTGCTACAGAGAAGCAAGGTGGAAAAGGCAGTGAGCACAGCCCACAGGCACAGCGGTGTGGAGGTGGAGAGTGAGATGCAGAGGTGGGAGGTCTGGCTTGGCTCCTCCCGGGATCTAGAAACATCTTCCATCTCACTCAAGGGCAGTTCTATGTCCCTGCTCAAGCTAGTTCCGGGATTGCTGCAACAGGGCACAGGCTTGGCTGTAGAGAGCACCCCGGGCCCCAAGTGTCTCTGGGTGGCACCTGGCCTGTGGTCTGTGCCAGCCGGGCCGGTGTCCCCTGGTTGACATAGGAGCCCGCAGGGCAACATGGTGGCTCCTGGGGGGCAGGAGCAGACAGCAGGTCAGAAACAGAAACTATAATTAAATGTTTTTTTACTCATCCTCACCCCCAGTAGGAAGTTATTCTTGGTTCTTAGTGAGGGGGAAGAAGGGGCAGGATGTGAGCCAGAGGCTGCTTGTGACCTTGTGACCTTCCTGGTGATTGAGTGGGAAGCTTTCGGATGGCAGAAGAGATTTCCTTGAGTGTCATTTGAAGACAGGGCCCAAGGTATGTAGCCTGGCTCTGCGGACAGCCCCGGGGCAGGGAGAAGCTGATGCACTGAGCTCTAGCACACTGTTCCTGTCCACTCCAGCTGCCTGGGCCTTGGGTGTCAGGGCTGACTTTGACCTTCCTCTGGAGAGAAAAGCCAGGCAATGCTCCCAGACATCAATAGCATTGCTGTGTGCTAGTAATGAACTCTTGAGAGAGAAATTAGGAAAACAATACCATTCAGAATAGTATTAAGAAAGATTAAGTACTTAGGAATTAACAAACCCAAGGAAGTAAAGAACTCTGCAATGAAAATTACATCACTCTGAAAAAGGAGACTGAAGAGGATGTCAGAAGATGGAAAGATGTTCCTTATTCCTGGATAAGCAGGACCAATATACACTAGACCCCCTTGAGGTCACAGTTCAGAGTTCACCGCCTCAGCTGCTCCCGGATTTTCCCTTAGAAATACCCCTCTCCATTGGTTTTTGGCAGGAAGTCTGCAGGCAGCCAATCTGCGAGTGCTGTTCAGTTCTCTTTGCTGCTGACTGGTTACTGCCCTGGAACCCATCTCTGGCAGATGCACCAGCGTCCTGCATCCTAACAGGGTGCCGTATGGTGATAGCATCTCTCATGTTCCTCTTAAGAGTTCCCCAAGACCCCAAGGATGTGGCCGAAATGGCCTGTACCTTTCTAACTCTTTTTTTTTTTTTTTTTTTGTCTTTTTCGTTTTTATCGGTACGAGGGATCGAACTCACGACTGCCTGCTTGCAAGGCAGGCGCTTATGACGCTGAGCTAAATCCCCAGCCCCTGGCCTGTACCTTCTAAAGCTTCGTTAATACAGTATTTTATTAAATTGCACTATATAACTTTAGGAGGCATAGCATATTCAGGGTTTAAACTCTAAAAATAGGTTTTTATGGGCATTTTTTATGATATATGAAATTTGTGTTTTTTCACAATTCATAGGAACTCTAGGAATGTAATCCCCACAAATTTGGGGGAGGGGAATCTACTGTAGTCAAAACGTCTATACATCCAAAGCTAATTTATAGATTTGTCACAACTACAATCAAAATACCCACAGTATTCCTTACAGCTCTAGAGAAACAATAAAAAAATTCATGTGGAACCACAAGCAAACAATAGCAGAGCAGGAGGCATCCCAATCCCTGATTTGAATTTAAAGCACAAAGCCACAGTGATAAAAACAGCACGGTACAGGCATAAAGCCAGAAATGTGGGTCAGCACAACAGACTAGAGGATATAGGAACAACCCAGACACATTCACCTATTTGATCTTTGACAAAGGGGCCAGCGCCATACTCTGGAGGTATGACAGCCTCTTTAATAAATGGTGCTGGGCAAATTGGATGATCCACATGCAGAAGATTGAGTCTGGACCCATGTATCTCAGCATGTACTAAACTAAAAATAAAGCAGTGATCTAAAAGTTAAAACAAAAAAACAACCTGCTGGAAGACAAAACAGGTGAGATTATTGAAGACATAGGTGTAGGCAAGGACTTGCTGAACAGAATCCCAGTATTGTAAGAAATAATACTGAGAATCAACACGTAGGATCATTTCAGATTAAGAAGCTTCTGCATATCTGAGGAAGCAACCAACAGACTGAAGAGACAAGTGATAGAATGTGAAAAATTTTTCAGCTGCTCCTCAGACAGACGGCTAACATTTAGAATATATAAACAACCCAAAAAATTAGATTCCCTCCAAAGTAGAAAATGAACATGTGAGATGAGTTGACATGTCTCAGCTGAAGAAGTGCAAATGGTCTAAATACATGAAAAA